GTGACGCCACGGCGGCCAGGGCAGCGGCGGCGCAGGAAGCCATCTCAGCCATGGAGACGGTGCGGGCCTTCGCCGGGGAGGAGGAGGAGGAGCGGCGCCACGGGCAGGCGGTGGCCAAGATGCTGAGGCTGAGAGACCGGATAGATGTGGAACGGGCGTTCTTCACCCTCGTCCGACGGGTGAGCGGGTGCGGGAAGGACCCCGGTGTCCGGGCACCCATGTCTGTGTCTCCCAAAACCCTGCTGACCCCCAACCCATCCCTGCAGGGGTTGCAATTGGCCGTGCAGGTGCTGGTGCTGTACCACGGGCACAGGCAGCTCCGTGAGGGCACCGTCACTGCTGGCAGCCTCGTCACCTTCCTCCTTTACCAGGCCAAAGTCGGCAGCCACGTGCAGGTGACACCACGCCACCCGCGTGTCCCCTGCCACCCTGTGCCCCTTGGGTGTCCACATGTCCCTTGGGTGTCCCCCAGTATCCCTAGGATGTCCCCATGTTCCCTGGGTGTCCTCCAAGTGTCTTCCATGTCCCTTGGGTGTTCCCCAGTGTTCCTACAGTGTTCCCATGTCCCTTGGGTGTTCCCCAGTGTTCCTAGGATGTCCTCTGGATGTCCTCTCAGTGTCCCCATGTCCCCTGGGTGTCCCTAGGATGTTCCCATGTCCCCTGGGTGTCCTCCAAGTGTCTCCCATGTCCCTTGGGTGTCCCCCAGTGTTCCTAGGATGTCCCCTGGGTGTCCTCTCAGTGTCCCCATGTCCCCTGGGTGTCCCTAGGATGTTCCCATGTCCCCTGGGTGTCCTCCAAGTGTCCCCCATGTCCCCTGGGTCTCCCTCATGTCCCTTGGATGTCCCCCAGTCTCCCTAGGATGTTCCCATGTCCCTCAGGTGTCTCCATGTCTCCTGGGTGTCCTCCAAGTATCCCCATGTTCTCCAAGTATTCCCATGTCCCTAGGATGTCTCCATGTCCCCCAGGTGTCTCCACATCCTTTAAGTGTCCCCATGTGCCCTGGGTGTAGCTAAGATGTTCCCATATCGCATGGATGTCCTCTCAGTGTCTCCATGTCCCCTGGGTGTCCTCCAAGTGTCCCCCATGTCCTCCAAGTGTCCCTGTGTCCCTAGGATGTCCCCATGTCTCCCAGGTGTCTCCATGTCCTCCAAGTATCCTCATGTCCCTTGGGTGTCCCTAGAACATCCCCATGGACATTCCCTGTGCAACCTGTGTCCGTCTGTCCCTGGTGCCAGTGACTCTGTCCCACACAGATGCTGGTGTTTGGCCACGGCAACCTGATGAGCAAAGCGGTGGCCGGGCGCAAAACCTTGGACTACCTGGACCGGGAACCCACCGGCGACGTCGGGGGCACCCGCGCGCCCCCCACCCTGCGGGGCCACGTTACCTTCCAGGGCGTCTCCTTTGCCTACCCCGCGCGCCCCGAACACCTCGTCCTGCAGGTAGAGCTGTGGGGGTCCCCAAAGAGGGGATGAGGGTGTCCTTGGGCACCCACCACCACCTCATATCCGCCCCCGAAACCCAGGACGTCTCCTTTGAGCTGCACCCTGGCGAGGTGACAGCATTGGCGGGACTCAATGGCAGCGGGAAAAGCACCTGTGCGGCGCTGCTGGAGCGATTCTACGAGCCCCAAGGCGGGGAGGTGCTGCTGGACGGGGTCCCCCTGCGGGAATATGAGCACCGCTACCTGCACTGCCAGGTGAGGGCAGTCGTGGGCGATGGAGCAGCACAACTGCACCGAGTGCTGCCCGGGCTCAGCCTATGCCCTGGGGGCAGGTGGCGATGGTGGGGCAGGAGCCGGTGCTTTTTTCCGGCCCCATCCGAGACAACATCGCCTTCGGGCTGGACGACTGTGGGGAGGAGGCGGTG